CCAGCGCACTAACCATTAGGCCACCACGTCTCCCAGTGCATTTATATTTGGTTTGCCACAATTTGTTTTTGACAGAATATGCTAAGTTTGGCTGATGAACTAGGCACATGCAAAAATGTGTAGAATCTTAGCTAGATGAAAACATATAGCTCTGTGCAAGAATTAAGTACAGCGATTTCATCAAAAGTTGCACACAAATGATCTAGCAACTAAAATAATATCCAAGACAGTGCCACAGCATAGATAAAAATAGTTTTTAAGCGAGAGCAAACCCAGCAACAAAACCCAGCTCAAAACTGTCCAGCAACAAAAAAACACAGAGTCAAACATAATTTTTATCCCAATGTCAAGCAAAATACAGTAATTTTGAAGCTACAACTAGCATGGCATTTAAGAGCCATTCTCCGAGAATGCCAAGAATCGGAAGACACTCAAAAAATTCGAATTTTTTTATATTTTGCCAAAACTTTCCTTTGGGTGTACTAACTTAAGGAAAAATAGTTAAAAGTTCCAACGATTTTTTTAACGGACGAAATTTAAAAAAGTTCGAAAATTGAATAATTAGCGGTTTTCAGCTCAAAAATAGCTTCAAATTCTCACGCTTCTTTGGGAAGACGGTGAAAGCGTAAAAAAGACTCTATAAAAACGAAACTTGGCACAAATATTATGTTGTTCTTCCTCTTTAAGACTGTGTAATAAGTTTCTCCAAACGTTGTTTCTAGCTTTTTCAATTGGAATATTTATACAGCTGCCATTTTTGTCGCTTAACATGAAGGCCGACTTTGACTGCTAAAAATGGCATCTGGTATATATCATTTGATAATAAAATCTACATGTAACGAAACCTTGGTTATTGTGCTTTCCACCAGGAAAGTTTTAGCTCTGGGAATTAAATATTTCCCCGTCAGTAAAATAAACTGTCTTGGCATGTGAGCGGGTATAATTTTATGCAAATCACAGGCTTCGCATTCAAGGAATACATCTGTAAACGGAACAATTAACGTGAAAGAATGACTCACCATTACTTGTTGCTCTTTTCTGCTGTCGTAGAAGTAAATTTCAGCTTTCTTGCTTCGTGTTGAGTCGTATAATCCATTAAAAGTCCAACATATTGATGAACGGTAATTGTAGCTCGAGAGTGTTCGCGATGACATTTTCAACCCGGCGTGCAGATTTCCCTCTAATCTCGACAGGATTTATATCGCATCGTGCTTAAAACCTTTAACATGCACATATCATATGTAAAATGCGATTAAAAAGGCATTTTCTAAACAATACATAAGGAAATTACTTGCTTCTAGTTCTCAAGCGCGCAGAAGTTAATTTGATCAACGCATGACCGAAATATGACCTTTAGTAACGCAAGGCGGCCACCCACTAGTCACGTTTCGCGTCGATTTAGTCAATGTTGAGTGTTATGTGATGCACGGGTCACAGCAGTAGCCTGTAGTACAGGCGGATTTGTTTATTTTTAGGCGAGCGCACGAAGCGCGCAACAGCGAGCGCAGAGCGCGAGATGAAAGACGAAAGAACAACCGTCTCATGCTCCGCGCTTGCTGTCACGCGCTCGCTCGCCGAAAAAACCCTAACCGCCTGTACTGCAGACTTCTTCCCACCCTCATCTCTCTCTAGAGACAGGAAGATTCCTTGACGATATTTCGTCCCTTTCGGGTCAAGTATTAAAAGTGGTAAGTACAGGGCAGCGCACTGAGAAGTGAGCATGAAGCGGGGAGTACCGCCACGCCCACGTGTATTCGCGCCTCGCTCTCGCTACTCACATTTTGCCTTCTAGCTCTCTTTTTCAACACTGGCAAATCTTACTTGTAGCCTCCTGTTTTGCAGACTAGTCATGGCACAGAGATCAGGGGGCTCTCACATCAAATTAGAAACTAACAAATTAATCTTACTTTAATAGTTCTGTGCCAGCTTTCGCTCGCGGTCAATAATGCAAGGTCTGGAAATGAAAAACCGTCTTCAGAAACTGTTCGTATAAAGCTTAGAAGGTTCAAGCAAGACACAATAGAAAAATAAATATTAATAATTAGTTGTTCCTCAAACGGCAATAGACTAGCTATAGTGAGCAACGCGAAGCGTGACTATGAGCGACGCGAAACGTGACTAGTTTCCGGGTGGCGGCTTGCGTTACTAAAGGTCATATTTCGGTCATGCGTTGACCAAATTAACTTCTGTGGTGGTCTTCACTGGAGAACTAGAAGCAAGTAATTTCCTTATGTATTGTTTAGAAAATGCCTTTTTAATCGCATTTTACATATGATATGTGCATGTTAAAGGTTTTAAGCACGATGCGATATAAATCCTGTCGAGATTAGAGGGAAATCTGCACGCCGGGTTGAAAATGTCATCGCGAACTCTCGAGCTACAATTACCGTTCATCAATATGTTGGACTTTTAATGGATTATACGACTCAACACGAAGCAAGAAAGCTGAAATTTACTTCTACGACAGCAGAAAAGAGTAACAAGTAATGGTGAGTCATTCTTTCACGTTAATTGTTCCGTTTACAGATGTATTCCTTGAATGCGAAGCCTGTGATTTGCATAAAATTATACCCGCTCACATGCCAAGACAGTTTATTTTACTGACGAGGAAATATTTAATTCCCAGAGCTAAAACTTTCCTGGTGGAAAGCACAATAACCAAGGTTTCGTTACATGTAGATTTTATTATCAAATGATATATACCAGATGCCATTTATAGCAGTCAAAGTCGGCCTTCGTGTTAAGCGACAAAAATGGCAGCTGTATAAATATTCCAATTGAAAAAGCTAGAAACAACGTTTGGAGAAACTTATTACACAGTCTTAAAGAGGAAGAACAACATAATATTTGTGCCAAGTTTCGTTTTCATAGAGTCTTTTTTACGCTTTCACCGTCTTCCCAAAGAAGCGTGAGAATTTGAAGCTATTTTTGAGCTGAAAACCGCTAATTATTCAATTTTCGAACAATTTTAAATTTCGTCCGTTAAAAAAATCGTTGGAACTTTTAACTATTTTTCCTTAAGTTAGTACACTCAAAGGAATGTTTTGGCAAAATATAAAAAAATTCGAATTTTTTGAGTGTCTTCCGATTCTTGGCATTCTCGGAGAATGGCTCTTAACAACGCTGAATGGTCCAGACCATTCCAGCAACAAAAACAATTTTGAACCCTGTGACAAATCGATTTATTTTAGAACAGTCAAGCGAGAAAAATAATTTTGAACCCAGCGTGGGCGACACAATTCTCAGTAACTCTGTACAATCGAGCAACTAATATAATTTTCATGAAGGCATCACTGAAAGCAGACAAAAATAGCGACCATGCTATTGCATGCAGTAATAGTTTCCCGGCTCAGTAAAACTAAATTTAATCATTTCCCACAGTATCTGTCAAAACCAAACCAAACATACCTATATAGAACTGCTGATCATTCCCTCAACTTTATGTCTCGATAAAGAAGTCCAGTCCTTAAAAATGCTTAAACGGTAATGGCAGACCGATGTTTTCACGTACTCGACAAGCCCAAAACGTGTACGTGAGTTCCAGCGCCATGAATGGTGGTCCTCCAGATTTGTACGCCAAGGTTTTCCACCGAATGAAACACTTACTGAATACTGGTAGCTCAGTCTATTTCCCTCGACAGCTGATGACTCGACTTGAGCAACCCAACATCAAAAGCAGTTTTGTTGGCTGTCCAAAAGCACTACATGTACATGTGCATTTGCGAGCAAAAAACGGAGCAAAAAAATCAACCTGGGTAACCGCTGGTCAGCGCTAAGTACGTCATGTAAGATAACAATAGTGTCTCGTTCCACACCTCGACCCAGGCTTTCGAACCCAGGACCTGTCGGTTATTAAGGAAAAAGCAAATCTAATCTATGAATATAGCGGAGATTTTAGAAAATAACTGTCAAATCATATGGGAAGGGGATAAGCCAAAACCTCTAATACGAGTTTGATTTTAGTTTTTACTTCAAAAACCACTGAACAGTTGAGCTTGGCAACATAGTATAATGCGTAGTCTGCTTATCATTAAAATAAAAAAATAATAATCGCACTTTTAACAAACCTTACTAAAATATTTACCATTTTTTAAAAAGAAATTGCTGTTTTATTGAGCATAATGTACTTTTAAAGCAATTTGAAATATTCAAAGCAATCTTATCACGTGACTGATGACGTCACGCTTATAAAATTTCCAAAACGTGTTCTTCACATAAACATCTATACACATGTAGATTTTGGTTGCTATGCTCCTTACCTTTTATGAGATATCGCAGAGCCAAGTTTCCACACATTTTTGCTCTTGTGTATAGCCCCCTTAAATTCAAAATGCCAGATGTAAACTGGCCATTTCAAAATGCCCCATATCAATATCTTGCTGACTATGTTGATTGCTTTTCAATGGATAGTGGCCTATTTTCACAGTAAACAAAAACGCATTTTCGGGCGTGGTCACGTGACTAATGACGTCATCACCCTAAGTTTGATATGAGAGTTATTTTATGGTAAGTGTTATTACCTTGTGGTGCTACACCCTTCTGGGCCTCAAATTGACAAAGTTATTTGGCATTGAAAAATTTTAAGTTGCAAAGGATTCTGGGAAGGTTCTTATTATAATTATATATTGCTCTTATAATTATTATTGACTTTCCCCAAGGGGGCTTTTCAAAGACAATATACAATTATCTAAGTTGAATAAGTTGCACCTCCATTTAGTTAAATGGGAAAAGTTTGTAGACAAACTTCTGTAATGGAAAAGCATGCAACGTCTGCCAATTTCCTTTTTTTTCTGTAACTGTTTTCTTAAATGTAACTGTAATTGTATTGTAACTGGAACTGGAATTGTATTGTAACTGAAACTGTAAACTGTTATTTTTTCAGTGTTATTGTAATAGTATATTGTATTTTTAATATAACGTTTTACATATCAATAAAGTATTAAATTATTAAAAAAACTGTATTCAGTTTATCACGAGCGTGGGACAAAGAAAAAAATTTGAGTCCCCGATGGGATTCGAACCCATGACCTTCCGTACACCGGTCGGATGCTCTAACCACAATCTGTATTGTTTTTAAACTAAATTCGTGGTCAACTGGTAAAATAAACGAACGTTGCGATAAAATTAAACGAGACTTGCCTGTAAGTTGTCACATGAGATGCGCGTGCGCGATGCTGGTCAGTATTCAACGCGAGTGGTACAGGACAAATGGGCGGGAATAAGGGCATGTGACTCCTTGGTTTTGGACTGATAACAAGTTAGAATCTTAATCAAACTTCAACTTACAGTTAAGTCTAGTTTAATTTCATAATTCTATCTTGTCATCATTCTACGTCACTACGTGGTCACATGAGATTTCTTCAAAGTCCTGTAACACGGACTAGTTAAGAAATGGTAAACGCAGCAGCGTACACTATCGAGTTATAGTGTACGCGAGAGGTTTCTAAGCACGAAAGAAGGGTAAGAGTCTAGCTTCTTGAGCTTCTAGCTTCTTGTCAATTCTTGAGTGCTTAGCAAACCTCCCAAGTACACTATAACTCGACAGCGTACGCTGCTGCGTTTACCATTTCTTTCAAAACACAACATAAACCGCAAAGAGTTTTAAACTTGCATGAATCCGCTTACATTTTTGAAGCGCGCGAAAAATATTCATTCAGCTGCCGTCCTCGCTGACTCAAAGTTAAGCGGCTTAATTATTGACTCAGTAACAATGATTGGCCATTTCTCAGCTTACGATCAACAGCTAACTAAGCCTTGTTTCAGTTTTTTAACGAAAAACATTAATAAAAATACGAGCGGACAAGGTTTTGAAGTTATTTAAATTATGTGGGAAACCTGCATGCAACTGCCAGAAGCGAGAATATGAATCGAATTGTAAGTCAAAACCAACATAATTAAAGTTTAAACTAATATACCTAATAGGTAGCTAATCGGCTGCCCTTTTAGTTTGTTAGGTGTACAAAATGCTCAAAATGAGTGTCAAACCAAAAATTTAGCATTAGTTTGGTAGTCAATCAGTTATGAGCTTGGTGTCTTCTTCAATGGAGAAGTGGAAACGAAAATATTGCTTATGAGTCTTCCTGTTTATGGGTCAAATGGGAGAAATCACAGATCTTGATACACTTATTAAAACCACAACCGACGTATAGTCTAAATTTGGCTGTTTACCCTGGGAAAGCGATAAACGGAACCGCAAAATTATACCGAAATTAAAAGATTGCTTCGTCACGCTTGTTCGAGCTCGGTTACACAAGGACATCTTAGAACATTTTGGCTAAAATCCTATTTTTAACAATTCGATTTGTTAACCGTAGTTATTGATTTGCTTGATACATAATACGTACGTTATACCGTAAACTATACAAAAGGTTGTGAGATTACATGTCGCCGGTTTTTTTCCGCATGCTTTAAATTGGTTTGCTTTCTCGTTGGAAAGCGAAAGACGAAACCACAAAGTTACACGGAAAGATTTAACGATTATTTTAGGTGTATGTAAAACCAGGAACACCCCGGAACACCCCGGAACACTCCCGGAACACCCCGGAACACCCCAGGAACACCAACGGAACACCCCAGGAACACAAAAAATAAAAATAATAAAATAAAATAATAATTAATTAATTAATTAATTAAATAAAAACAAATATATTTGTATAGTGGCTGAAGTAGTGAAATCGAACACGGTCAGCGGTCAACGATGGGTATTGGAGAGAGAGAGAGACTTGCAGAGACTTTGATCATTAATAACCTTTTTAATATTGAAGCAAAAGCCGCCAAACTTTTCGACTTTACCTAACATTTTACTGGAAACAATTTGGTATGACATGTCGTTATTCACGGAACTTGCTATTACCATAGCAACCATATTTTGACAGGCATGTTTTTCCAAATTTGGGATTTTCATGTTTTTTAAGGAAGAAAATAACTTTCTGGCAATAACTTTTACCTTGATTGGAAGATTATTAGTTGACAGTCTGAACTATGCCTTCGACTACGGTGAGCTCTCAAACTCTCAAAAACAGGCCATTATAACTTTAATTGAAAAAAAAGGGAAAGATAAAAGAATGATAAAAAATTGGCGTCCCATTTCTCTTATAAATGTGGATGCGAAATTAGCGTCTAAAACTCTGGCAAAGCGTTTGAAAAAGGTGCTACCTGACATCATCCATTTTAATCAGAATGCCTTTGTAAAGGGGAGAACTATTTTCGATGCGATTAGAACAATTGATGATGTGATCGATTATACAGAATCTAAAGGCTTGTCGGGAATTCTAGTGGCTATAGACTTTGAGAAAGCGTTCGATACTTTAAACTTTAATTACCTGATAAGAACATTACATATATTTAACTTTGGTCCTTCTTTTATTCAGTGGATACGGGTTCTTTACAAAAATGTGTCCAGTTGTGTTATGAACAATGGTTTTACAACAGGACCCTTTACACTAGGTAGAGGAGTAAGGCAAGGAGATCCTCTTTCCCCTTACCTGTTTATAATAGCACTAGAGGTCTTAGCTATAAAAATAAGACATGATGAAAATATTCAAGGATTTACAATTGGACAAGAAAAAATCAAACTCTCTCTTTTCGCAGACGATTTGACCTGCTTTCTGAAAGATAAGCTATCTTATAGTAACCTATTTCGCACTATTGAGGCTTTCGGGGAATGTTCTGGATTAAAAGTTAACCACGAGAAAACTGAAGTCATGGCCCTTGGTTGCAACACTCTCGAGGAAGATTTTTCTGATACGTATAATCTTTGCGGGGTAATCAAGATTTTAGGGGTTTACTTTGGCTATGACGAAAACCAAAAGGATGATTTAAACTTTAGAAAGACTTTAAAATCAATCAAGAAAACGATCAATTTGTGGAGATGGAGAGGTCTTTCCCTCTTGGGGAGGATACAAATCGTTAAAACCTTTGCCATCCCCAAGCTAATGTTCAGAGCTTCTGTCATTCCAATGTCTACCGGGCTGATTAAAGAAGCAAATTCAATTATTTACAATTTCGTCTGGAACGGGAGAGACAAGGTAAAACGAAATGCATTGACGTCAGATATCGAGAAAGGCGACTTAAACATGCTTGATATTGATTCTATGATTCGAACAAAACGAGTAATATGTTTAAAGAAATTTTTAGAGGACTATCAAAGCCATTGGAAGACAATTCTACACAAATATCTTGCACCAGTTGGAGGTAGTTTTGTGCTGCACTGTAATTTTGCCACCTCGAAATTGAAACTCAACCTACCGATCTTTTACAAACAATGTTTCGATGCATAGTCAGATTTAAATAATAAAGTACCAAGCTCATCTCAGGATATTGGCAATGAGATTATTTGGAACAATAAGTTTATCTGCATTGATAAAAAATCTATATATCGGAGAGATCTTGTGAACCTAGGCTTTTTAAAAATAGGAGATTTATTCTCGGCCAATGCTAATCCATTAAGGACTAACCCCGAACAAAGTTTCTTTATTATGAGCATTGTTAACTCAATCTCACCACAGTGGCGGTTGAGTGTTAAAAATGTTATTATCGCGCCAGCTCCAGTCCCTAGTATCCCTCCTATTATGATTGAGGACAACTTGGTTCCAGTTCTCGATGTTTCTTCTAAACAAATCTACCAGCGTTTCTTGGAGAAAAAGCAAGTTACGCCTACTGCCAAACATAAATTAACGAACGATTATCCGAACACCGTTATAGATTGGAAGAAGGTTTATTCTTTAGCCTTCCGTACTACCTTAGAATCGAAACTCAGGGAATTTCAGTATAAGATTTTAAATCGCATTGTTTTTACAAATGATAAACTTTTTCGTTTTGGAATAATCGATTCACCCGATTGCGTTTTCTGCGAAGAAGAAGTGGGATCCATCGAGCATTTACTCTTTTCCTGTAAGATATCCTCGGATTTTTGGAAACATGTCCTGTCCTGGCTACGAGACAATAATATTTACGTTGGAACCTTGAAGGATTCAGATTTGGTTTTTGGGAAGTTTGATATTAAAGACGATTTTATTTTGATCAATCATATTCTGTTGTTAGGCAAATTTTACCTTTACTCAAGGAAATGTCAAAATAGCATGCCTTCTCTCCGAGGTTTTATCGCTAGGACAGGTCGTGTTTATAAGATTGAGCTCCATATTGCCAGGAAAAGAGATAAACAAATTCATCATTTTAAAAAATGGGAAAAATTAATTCATACGTTTGCTAATTAGGTAAATTATAGTAACAATAGTATAGGTATTATATAGATCATATTGCTGTAGTAGCCTGTGTGAGTGTGTGCATGTGCATGTGTGTGATTTGTATTTTGTATGCTTGTTTGTATACTGTTTTGTAACATGCTGAAAATGAAAAAAATAAAAAAATCTTTAAATGAAAAAATAATAATAATAATAACTTTTACCTTTTTTAATCTATCTTTATTAATCTTTTTTAATTTATAAATTTTAATTATTATAATAAGATTATTATCATTATGTTTGCTGAACGCTTGTCCAAGTTTCTTTGGTGACTTGGTCCTTCGTGTCAGCTTCATAGCGAAATGTTGTTAAAGAAAAATTCGTAATTTCGAGATTGCGTGCGTTTTCTTCACAGAAGTTGGAAGGGATCCTAATCAACGTACGGGTAACTCGTCCGATCCCAAATACCCGTAGACTAATAACGCGTCTAAATAAAGCGCGCGGAAAAGTAGACGGAGAAAATTATACGAATTATCTTTCTAAAATTGTAATCGTACTGCTTTAAAACTTGTACGAGTTTGTAAAAGGTTGTACTTTGTTATGGTAATATGTCTGAATGGAGTACAGTCGAACCTATAGTAATGGCCCTGTATTAATACCCTTTATAAAGCGGCCAGTTTTCAAAGTCCCGAATTTTCGCCCATGCATACAAACTTTGTATTTGCTACCTGTATAAACGGTCACCTCTATTAAGCAGTCGCGGCCACCCTTGATGACCCTTTAGCAGTCCCATGTTTGTCTGTCTTTGTTATATTTACATGTACCAAGCGGCCACACTTGAATGGAAACCCCTAAAACCACATGTCATTTTACGATTTTATTTCGCGTAAAAAGGATCCATCAA